ATGTACCAATTTTAATTATTCATAAGGACTAATGAATAACCACAAAAACACCAAATAAAAATTTTCTTTTGATATTTTGAAACTTTACCTTCTCCTGAAAAATTTTTTGTGGAAAAACCTAAATTGATGCAATTTTGAGGCAAAAAAACGTTTGCCGAGTCTGCTAGTAATCACTTACAAAATATTTTCAAATGATCACTGCCCTTACAAGGCAAAATTCAAATAACCAAAAAATATCTCTCTTTGGTTCATAGAAATTAGCAAAGCTAATAATTTTTTGTATTTGTTCTGGTTCGTCTTCGGCTTTTTTAATGTTTGCGTAATTTCGAATAGCAATATATGCTTCAGTGGATCATCAATGTATTCGTGATTGTGGCGTTAATATCGGTTGGGTTTTTTACATACATGTTCCATTCCCCTAAACATGACAATATCTAATCCCCCTCACATTTAAATTCTAATGTGTGGCTAAAAGGTTGGTGAGGAACTACCTTGCAGTATGCTTTAAGGAATAGAGCTTAATATTGTATCTTTTTCAAATCTTCCCTGTTATCCATGATTTTTCGTTGATAATTTTGACCCTTTAAATTTTATTCATAACATCTAGGCTCATTGAAAGAGTCACCCGGAATGTGATAAAGCTTTTTAATGTCAAAAAGCTGATCGGAGATTCGATTAAAATCGTTGCCAAACTTTCAGAAATAACAAATATTGTAGGGTAACGTTGTACGAAAGCTACCCGAAAAAATAGACCAATATTAATAACGTTTTGGAACCCAATGAAAACCTAAATTGCAGTCATTTCGGTAGAAAAACGTGTCCAAAATAACGAATATTGATATTTTTTTAGATTTGCCAGGTAATTATTTACAAATGAAACTATCGAATTACAGCCAATGCAGTTCGGTAAATATTATTATCTGATCATCACCCAAAATTGGCGTTGATATAGACCATCTTCGAACTTGACTGCCTGTAGACAAAAGACAAATATATGCAATATTTCTAAACCCCAATATGACAGATCAAGAAATGATTATTTCGATGATTTAGAAACGTAATGTCAAATTTTTTATATCATTCGTACTATGATAGAGGGTATTAATGACTAGAATACCTAAAAAGGTATGGAGGTATGCACATACATGTTCATTAAACATTTTCAAACACTGTGTACAGGATATTATGTATTTGTGCATATCACTTTCTGAATCAATCTAAGTATGTCCGACTGTCTCTTGATGTAAAATTGATAACAAAGTACCGGTCTTATTTATTATCAGAATTAAATTGGGCACAGCTCATTTTTTTTTATTTTGCCCAAAGATGATCTCTATTGATATAGGTGAACATCGGTTCAGATTTAGATATAGCCGATTTTATGTATTTTTATGTAACTTTTCATTCATTTCCATCACACTCAGTTCGGATTTAGATATATCTCCCATATATACATTCATTCAAACTCTCAATGTGTCGAAATTTTGCGCATCGAATTGAGTCTAGAATAGCGTGTGTAAAGTTTCAATAAAATCAGATCAGATACATAGCTCGCATATATATTGTAGTACAATATTATTAAAATGATACACTAAGCTCCCAAGGTTTATCCGATTGAAACGAAATATGATATAGCATTTTGATTTGAGTGTAGAATAAAGTGGCTTAAATTTAAATGGAATCGGATCAGATCGGATGTAGATGCACCAAACTCCCAAGGTTTATCCGATTAAGACTAAATATTAAGGGAACCCCACCCATTCTCGATTTTAATTTTTCAAGATTTTCAATGGGCTGGTAAATCAATACCAATGCTTGTTAAGGTTTGTAACTTTGCGCATATATATTTGAAGATTTAAAAGAGAAGAAAAATAATTTACAACAAATTTTTGTTATTCTTTTGTTGTTGTTTTTTGTAATTAAAAAAAGTCCTTATTTTTGATGGCGGGGATGATAACTCCTCACTGCAACATCGGAATCCGAAAATTCCAACGGTGTTAGAAAGAGTACATGTCTGGCTCTCGTATGAACTAGGATTATTGACTTCGCTCTAAAATTAGCAAAATGGCGGATCTTTGAACAAATATTTTTGGAAAATCGCCGATTTTTGACCAAAAACTTAGTTAAAAAATAAGGAAGATCTTCACCGATTGGCTTTATCCTAATTCATACGATGGCTATACACTCACAGAGAAACGTGTAACAATTTGGAATCGATTGGATTATTAGTTTTTGAGTTATCGTGCCCGCCATTCGCAAAAGAGAAAAACGCGTTTAAAGTTTGAGAAGCCCTTTAGCCGTCACTTGATGCTGACACAATAAATCGGCTATATTTTCAACAGTTTTTGAGATTTAAACTTGAAATTTTGTAGGGACATTCTTGAATTAGTGTAGATTCGAATTAAAGCAAAAAAAAAGTTGACCCCGAGAATGGGGGGTCCCCTTAATGTGAGTTTTGTTGATATCGATTCGAATTTATATTAAGTTAATACGGTTCAGATGTATCGATTTCCTGAAATTGTGCCTCAAATCCACAATGTTCGTTTGATTCTGATTAAATCTTGGACAACACGATTTGGTGCAGTATACCGAATAGCGTATGTCAAATATTACACCATAGACCGCAGGTCTGCCCGATTGACATGAACTTTTGAACAGATTTCAGAATGACATGGTGCATATATCTATGTAGACCGATTTGTGATTCTTCCTTACGGGTGTTTTCTTCAATTATTGATGGCCTGTAATAATGGACGTTAGAACACGTCATAAGTAGAACAATGTCTACCAAATTTATCGTTCAGATCGGTTCAAATACACATATACAAAATGGAATACAATATATTGCATATATCTACAATTTGGTTTCACTATACCAAAAAGTGGACCGATATACCCCATTTTCAATCACAAACATCATATGATTAGAGAGATAATGTTAAAATTATATACTTCATAAAGCCTAGTAAGAAATCTGTACAGTCGAACATTATCAACAAAACAACTATAACCAGTGAACGAAGCAGTATAGTCAGACTGGGTAATATTTCGCAATATTTGTACCCTCTTGACTGATAATGGGTCCACAGCCCATTATCCCTGGCATACTTTCGAAATCTCTTTTTCCCGAGGTGAATATTTACGGCATAAAATAAAAATTTGGTCACTTTAGGTTTTGGTTGATTTGACCCTCGGAATATTGACCGATCATCATCTAAACAGCCGTTCTATTTGATATTTGGTCACATCCCCTTCACCTTGTAAAATATGCGATGACTGGCGTAATTGTAATACTAAGCAATATTATAGCACATTGACACTTTTAAATATTTACGTATAATTCCCACATTTGAATTCATACAACAATATCAATCCTCTTGGATATATTATAAAGTTCTCGGGTCTATGACCTTCAGGATTATATATATATATACGCCCGCGAATACAAATTTTCCACTAAATATTGACCGATCGTTTTTATTTGCTCCGATCGCCTTCTCCATGTAACATTTCACGATGTTAGGGTAATTCCCACATTTGAATTCATACAATAAAAATAGAGAAAAAATTTAAGTATTTGGTCCATTTTATATCCCCCCGAAATTTGTTAGTAAATCTGCAATATTTTTTTGGGAAAATCGCGATGTTAGAATAAAAAAAATAACTTACAAAGTATCCATTATAAAAACAAAAAAAGAAATATTTTTTTAATTAAAAATAATTAAATTAAATTTAAACAAAAAACTCATTTATTCAATTGTCCCCCCACCCCACAAACGAAAAAAATTCTCGACTTGGCAGGCTTTTGTCCCATAGCAAAAAAAAAAAACAAATAAAAACAAAATAATTAATATTTTATTTTGATTTTTTGTACATTCATTCTTAATTTTTTTTTCAAAAACAAATTTTAATTTAGAAAATAATGCTTCAAAAAAACGAAAATTAAAACAATTTCGATTACTACAATATAACATTTGGTGAAATTAAAAAAAAAAAAATACACAACGACAAAGCACCAGATTCAGTCACCTTCTTCACAAAAAAATAACAAAAAAGCAATTCACAGAATTGTTTGTGTTATTAACAACAACAAAAGTGCAACACAAATAATTTTTATTGCACAAATTAACAAAAACAAAAAACAATTTTCAATAACAAAAATTATTCTCATATAATAACACTTCAGTAAGCTGTGTAAAATAACACCAAATACACTGAAAGAAAAAAACTAAACGTTCACTAAAGCCACGCCTCAATAAAATAACTTATTTTGACCACACACAATATTTATATATTTATTTTTTAATAAAATAAATTATATTCTATTTATTGTTACTAACCAATGTTCCATGCCCAACGAACCTGCAAAAAACGCAAACAATTAAAATGACAGTTGAATTCTGTAAAATATCAAAAAGAAGAAAATGAAAAAAAAAACGCTCTTATGGAACTAACTAAATTTCAAACTGCCACTGTGACAATGCAGAGTTTATTTTAGAAACCAAATAAATTTGTTCAATTTGTTCAAAAAAAAGAATCTCTATACTCAACTCATGCATAAAAATAAGAAAAACAATATATATTTAATGAAAATTATTTCTATTAATTAATAGAAATTTTGGAGGTAATTGTTTGATAAACTTCTCAGCGTATTCTAATCAACGAAATTTGCTAATTTTTTGCAAATCATAATTTTTGTTTTATTGGGATATTAGAGGAAAGGGGGGGTTTTAATTATTGTTCTATGACAATGCAAAATAAATTAAAATAGAAAAATTTTAATACGGAAAAAATATTAATTTCAAATATTCTCAGAATACAAATTGTGAAAAAAGAAAATTCTAAATCCATTGAAATTATTTCTATAATTTCCCAATAAACAAAAATTAATATAAACAGTTGTCAAAATTATTAGTTTTTTTTTTTATTTGTCTTTTTATAATTTTTTTTAAATTAAAATTTTTTATTTATTTTCGTAAATTTAATTTAAATAAAATAATAAATTACACACCCAACCAAAAAGCCTACAAATCATCGAGAATTTGGTAGCTTCACGTTTTGTATAGGAGTTTTTTGGTTATGTACAGGAAATGATCGATTGGATGTCCTATCTGTCGGTGGTGTCCACACTGGGCTTTGTGGTCTTCTTTGCGTTGGGTCCCGGCTCAATACCATGGATGATAACGGCCGAGCTCTTTTCACAAGGTCCAAGACCCAGTGCCATGGCCATAACTGTATTGGTAAATTGGATGGCCAATTTTGTTGTTGGTATTGGATTCCCCAGTATGAAGGTACTAAGTTTATTTTTTTTTTTTTTTTGTATTTCTTACAAAATTTATAAAAATATGTTTCTTTTTTACAGACTGCTTTGGAAAATTATACATTCTTACCGTTTAGTGTATTCTTAGCCATATTTTGGATATTCACCTACAAGAAGGTTCCTGAGACCAAAAATAAGACATTCGAAGAAATATTTGCTCTCTTCCGTCATGGAAATGGAAGGTATAGTTTTTGATTAAAACCCTTTTCTTATTGTTGTTGTTTATATGAAGATATCTACATTATATCTATACTATATATAATTATTGATCATTCATACATCCATCATTCGACTTAATTTTCATTTTCAACAAATTCCTATTTATTGTTTTAATTCATTTAATTTTTTCTAGGATTGCAAATTCCTATTCGACATTTCAATAAATGTTTTCCAATATATGGTTGATTATTACTTTCCAAAAATCTTCAGTTTTGGGTTTTTATGTCTAAATCAAAATATTAATTGAAATAATAGTTGTTAAAACCGAACTTGGAAGTTTATCAATAGAGTTTAAATAATTTATAAACAAAAATATTTTAAAGTTTTTTTTTATATTTTACTTATATTGGTTTATTTATTATTTTTATTTGCAAATAATGTTATGTAGGAACAAATCACTTTGAAATTTACTTCAATTAATTAATAAATTATAAAAATAAATAAACATATGGCCACAACCAAATCTATACTAATAAAAAATAAACCAGTGAAAAAGCGTTAAGTTCGGCCGGGCCGAACTTTGGATACCCTCCACCATAGATATACTGGCAGGTACTTGAAATGAAAATATAGGGAACATACCAAAAATGGACCTATACCGACATTTCTACAAACCGATTATGTAAACAATAATTTTTAATAGAAAATTATACCATCAGCCTTATGGCTAATTAGTGTGTATACACTTTCACACGCTGAAAATGTGCCTCATCAAAATATTGGTTCTAGACCCAATGTTTGTTTGGAATAAATCCGTTTCAGAAAAATTTGATTTCATCCCATCTTATTATGTCTTCCAAATTTAGCTCAAGTCCGAATTTGAGGAATATCGGTCCATGCCTTCTGGTACCTCCCACACAGGGGCTACGGCTAAGCCTAAATGCGGGCTATAGTTCACATATAGTTCATTATCGAACCGTACTTTCCAGTTGTTTATCTCGATATCCTTCGCAGGTGAAATGATTGTAACAGAGTATTAGAACCAAACCCAAAACGCGGAAAAATCAGATAATTATATTAATATAAAAAAATGGGATTATATGGGGACTGCGCCTAAAAGGGGTTGATTATTAATAATTTTTGTTAGGGAGATTTGTTTCCATATACGGCTACAAGATACCAAATTTCAGTGATTTCGGTTGAAAAACGCGCTCAAGAACCTCAAAATGCCGAAATTTGGGGGTACCTTTATATGGGGGCTACCAGAAAAAATTGACTATTATTTATAATTTTTAGTGAAGATATTTGGTACCCAAAAAGAACCCTATATACCAAATTTCAGCGAATTTAGTTTAAAAACGCACTCAAGAACCCCAAAATACCGATATTTGGGGGTACCCTTATATGGGGGTTACCAGAAAAAAATTGACTATTATTTATAATTTTTAGTGAAGATATTTGGTACCCAAAAAGAACCCAATATACCAAATATCAGCGAATTTAGTTTAAAAACGCGCTCAAGAACCCCAAAATACCGATATTTGGGGGTACCCTTATATGGGAGCTACCAGGAAAAATGGACTTATATTTATAATTTTTAGTGGAGATATTTGGAAACTTTTAAGAATTTAAAGTACTAAATTACAGCCAATTCGGTGGAAAAATACGACCAAAACCCCCCAAAATATTGAAAATGAGGAGGTACCGTTATATGGGGGCTAACAGAAAAAGTGAATCTATATTTATAATTTTTTGTGGAGACATTGAGTACCCAATAAGAACTCAATGTACCAAATGTCAGCGAATTCGGTTGAAAAACGCGCTCAAGAACCTCTAATTACCGAACATATGGGGGGTACCCTTATATGAGAGCTATGCCTAAACGTGAACCGATATATCCCATCTTCGAACTTGACCTGCCTGCAGACAATATTTCAGCACCCTATCTCAATTCCTTCGGAAGATAGCGTGATTACAACAGACGGACAGACGGACGGACATGGCTAGATCGTCTTAGAATTTTACACTGATCAAGAATATATGGACAATATTGCTAATTTTTTAACATAGCTGAAGCGGAGGTTCACCCCTTTATAACTCGGTAATTACTTAAGTGTATGAAAAAAAGTGAATAGTTTTGGGTTAATTGATCTGTCGTTGCAAACTGCTCATGGTATCGACCTCCAAACTTTATGTTGGTGGAAGCTGTGTCTACTTTAATGTAAAAAAATGTGTAAAAACAGGTTGAGGCGAACCAGTTTTTTTATGTTCTCTATCGATTTGTGATTAAGCCACTCATTTCACTGTCTTCGTGTCAAAGTAAAACTAGAATCCAACAAAATGGGGACTACGCCCCTTATGTATCATTTTTCAAAATTTTCACTGCATCTACCTTTAAATGATGCTGACATTTTGAAGCTCGATTTTGAGCGTTTTTTGAATTTTACTTCTACCTTTAATACGCAAACAGGAATTTCTAAAAATCGATTATAAGAGTATTCTAGTCGCGAATCTGAGTAATTTGATATATATTTTGGGTATGTAGTATGCACAGCTTCAAAGTTATACTCATCCGAAGGTGAAAATTTTGTGCGATCAAATTTCTAAAAAACCTATTTTTCGGGCCAAATGTTTAGATCTGTCAACTGAATGACATGGGTACACACCGAAATCGGATGCCCGTAATGGCATATGGAGTTTTCGGGAATTATTCGCGTTTTACGATTTTTTGGGTACTTCAATGCAACGTGTGGCACATCTTAGCCGTCAAATGAAATTTCGCAAAATATATATGGATTGGAAGATAAACTTCAGTACTTCCTGAAAACCGCATGCGCATCAAATGATTTTGAGAATTACGCGATTTAGACGCAACATAAAATGTATATTTCATAATATTATTTTATTTTAAGATTTATTCCAATTTATAGAACCCTAAGGTTTAACGGAAGGGTCTTGATATAATCCGCAAGGCGTATACTTGTGCACAAAAAGTGATTATTATATATGTAAATTTTTCGGCGAAATTCGGGTAAAATAGCAGAATAACCCCAACATTTTTTTTGTGAAATTTCTTGTATAAAATTAAAAAAATAAATATGATGAAATTACTTTTTCGAACAAAAAACAAATATTTTTCCTCAATATCTGGTTTTGTTGTCGCTGTGATTTACAAACCGCTACACGGACTTGTGTGATTTTGATATCATTTGATTCATCATGGTGTTTAGATTATGTAGATATTTTTAAATTAATTTTTAGGTGTGTGTATGTCATTAATATGATGAAAATATTGATGTAATCTGCTATATTTTTTTCTCAAATTTTGCGAATATGTGCAACTTTATCGTGATTATTATAATATATTCATATTCTTATTTTACGGAGGAAGATCTATATTAACGTTGTTGATCAATATAACAAACGGTGTAATTTTAATATTTTTTCTTATGCCCAAAATTAAAACTTCGATAACTTTTGCGCGCATCAACCAAAAATTTGATTGCGAACGGTTTCGGAGTCAGAACATTTTTCTCTATACGTGTACCAAAAATCATTGATGTGCCACAAAAACAAAAAAGCTGATTTTTTGAAAATGGAATATTAAAAAATTGGCAATATTGCCCATATATACTTTATAGGGTCGGAAATTAATATTTCGGTGAGTTACAAACGGAATGACAAAATTAATATACCCTCCATACTATTGTTGGACATATAATATTTTATCTCTGCTATTGGTGATGTCGTTCTCTTGAATGAAAGTCAGTTGTTTTCTCTTTGGCGTCTTTATTGAGAGTGATCTTCTTTTTCTATTTTACTATGCACGAAACTTATGGATGTACCAAAGGGTTTTTTAGGAAATCCGATTTTTTAGTATCCTAAAAGTACTAAAAAGTCCCCAATTTTGGTACAATTTCGTAAAATTTGAAAAGCTAAAAACTTGAAAAGTTGAAAAGTACGGTCGATAAAAGCAGGTGGTTTTGAAAGCGTGTACTCATTTATAGGAAAGATACTAAACTGTACTAAATTTGGTACAAATTGAATTTTAAGAAACGCATGGAGCTGGAATCCTGAAATTTGAAATTAACGTTACTGTCGGACTGTAGCGATATGTATGTAGTTTCAGAAATTTGTACTTATGTGTACAAAAGTACTAAAGGGTAATATATTTGGTACAATTCGGATTTTGGATGAACCGACAGAGCTGCCATCCTGAAATTTGGAGTTAAGGTCACTGTAGGGGTGTAGAATTGATATATGTGGGAAATTTCGGAAATTCGAACTGAGTTGTACTATATTTGGTACAATTTAAATTTTGGGTGAACCGATAGAGCTGAAATCATGAAATTTGGAGTTAGTTATGGTCACTCTCGCGGTGTGGGAATGGGTTATGTAATAAGTATTGGAAATTCATATCAATGCGTTCTAAATGGTAACAAATTTGTTACAATTTGGATTTAGGTGAACTTATAGAGCTGGAACACTAAAATCTAAAAATAAGATTACTTCTGCAGTGTTGATTTGCGATGTACTCATTATTGAATAGGTTTTGGGAATTCCCGACTTTTTTCATTCCTGGAAAATCGAGAATTCAAAATTTTCATTCATTGAAAATTTTCATTCCCATAACGATATGTTTATTTTGGAAAAAGTTGTTTTTTTTTTTGACCACCACTGTAAGTAATTTCCATATGTTCTGCCGCATTTTACAATCGAATGGGCTGTAATTTCACTTTCCGGGTTCTTGGGGAAAGAACAAGATATTTCATTTGTTGTATGTTTAAGGTTCTTTACTTTCAAAACTATTTTCTATTGACAACAATAACATTATTATAATTATCTGTAATTTGAATTTACGGTTGAGAAAAAAACGGATACTCATTTTAATTACGACCAGCACATTTCACAACTTATTTCGTAAATTATTTCAATTAATTTGTTTAATGCATTTATTAATATTTAATTTTTATTCAATTAACGTTATTTAATACGACCGATGAACAAAAAAAAAAATACAAAACAAATAAAATATTTATTTTTTTGAAAAAAACACAAGAAGGAGTTTCCGAGATAGTAGACTGTACGGGTAAGTTGCATGATGAACAAAACAAAAAATCGAATTTAAAAAACAACGGTTGAAAAAAAAAAGATTCTTCTTTTTTAAATAAAACAAACCAAAATTCTACCCTGCATAATAAATCCCCCTTTTGCAATTGCCTTTCTAAACAAAGAAAAATAAAACTTATAATTAGTTTCGTTTATTTAAAAAAAAAAAAACAAAAATATGTTTGCCATAAAGAAAACTGTGTCTGTTACACTCTGTTTCTGGAAAATACGATTCGAATAAATTCGAATTACTAACAATCCATGGTTTATTGAAAACAAAATTTATATTTATTTATTATACAAAATAAAATACTTTTACACACCACATGATTTGATAGTACTTCCTTGAAGTCGATAATTTCGAATTTTACAGAAACAGTCTGTTAATTTTCATTTGGAAAGTTTTTCTATTCTTGTAGTATTTCATATACATACATATAAATACAACTGATTTTTTTTAATTAAGTAGTCCAAATGTTACATGTGTTACATTTATTTTGCTCTTGGCTATAATACTTCATATCCTACCATATAATACATATAACAAAACTTGCTGTTCTTTTTCCTGAAAATATACCTATATATATTTACATGTTTTCTTTATCAAACCAATACCAAAACATTAACCAAACAATCCTAAATTCATTCATTCTTCCCCTCTGTTTTCGGATCAATACAACAACTAAACTAGTTTTCTTTTGTATTTTCTTTTCGAATGAATGCTTTGAATGCTAAATTATCAACTTTTCAAATATCCCACCACCAACAACAATAATTTGTCTATTTAATTAAAATCCAGAAAAATTTAAATTTTGTAAACTGAGAAACTAAAAACTTGTTGTAAATATTTGTGAAACTTTAATTAGAAAGGAATACAAAAAAATAAAAATAAATAACAACTTTAATTTTACTCTCAATCTTCATCATGTCAACTACATCCATACAACCTCAACAACAACAGCCTACCAAACAAATCGTTCGTTATTGTTCTTCATGCCTTATTACCATAAATTAGCTATATCTCTATCTCTCATCATTCCTTCGCCTCACTCACACACACACATGCACTCATACATGTCCACACTCATCACAGAATGCACACAATGAAACTAACAACAACATTTATACAAACAATTTTTATTTATTTATTTGATTTTATTTAATTAATTATTTATGTTATTATATTTTATTAATGCACACTTGAGAACTTAAAGCAGGATAGATCGAAGCCTTTGATTGTATTCTCCATAAATGAGATATAATTTTTAATCAACAATAGAATAACAAATGTATCAACGCCCAACTTTATAAAAAGTAAACCTCAATGATATAATTCTTGAGGTCACGGAGAACGTAGGGCGCCACTTTGCGATTTGGTCATATGATATTTCATGAGCAGGATATGGTCCTGAAAGCGTACACGAGATGACCATTTTACTAATTTTGTTTTCGCATTATTAATTATCATGAAATATAAAAAAAAATATATGTATATCCTGAGCCTTATGGCTAATGAGGGTATATACAAAAAAATGTGTGTCATCGAAATATTGGTCCATATTTCTTTGGACCAAATCCGTTCGAGATAATTTTGAAATGTGTGTAAATGTGTGTGATCGAAATATTGGTCCATATTTCTTTGGACCAAATCCATTTCATATAATTTTGAGTAGCTATACAAAGGTCATTCCGTTTGTCAGTCTGTCTGGTGCGCACGATATCGAAAGGAGTAAACGATTTCATCCAATTATTGCACATCATAATATTTCATTCAAACTTAGTTTTAGTTCCAAGATGGAAGATATTGCTCCACTCGATCCAGTACCTCTCCCAAAAAATGGTTAAAATTTTGCTGAAAATTATTTTTAAACTATCATGCAAACGGACGATCCGATTTGAACCAAACTTTGTACAACCTATTATCTTTACCAAGTCTAGATCAACTAGGAAGATAGGACCCAATGGTTCACTCCTTCTGGTACCTTCCCCACAGAAGGTCAACATTTTCAATATTTATAAATCCAATATCAGGCTAATGGAATGTCCGATTTGAACCAAACTTTGCACAACCTATTACCTTTGTCAAGCCCAGATCACGTTTGAAGATGGGACCCATTAGCCCACTCCTTTTGGTACATCCCATCGATTTGAACCAAATTTTGCACAAGGTGGGGACCGTCTGCCCTCTCTGATACAATATTAAATATTTGATCAACATAAAATCCGAAACATCTTTTATTAAACATATACCTTATATAAAACGAATGTATAATATCGAAGACCTCCTCCGCAAACCATAGGGTGAGGGTATATATCTATTGGTAGTTCCTTTTGAGAATATGCATAGAATCACTCTCTGAGTCGATTTGTGTATGTCCCTCCATCTGTTACAGTACATGTCACTTTTATGATCCGAATTGAATGTAATTTGTCACAGCTCATTTATTAGGACGATTCCTATTGAAATTGACCTATTTCCACAAAATTTTGCACAACGAACTGAAGTTAGTATTGCCTAACGTGTGTCAATTTTTTTTTTAAATCGGTTCAGATTTAGATATAGCTCCCACTAAAGACCCAAAGTTGGACTGATTGCCAACAAAATTTTGCAGTTCAGATTTGGATATAGGTCCATAGCACTGTGCAACACAAAAAATAATTACCGGGAAATTTTTGTCCCTTATACTATCTATCTAAAACGACATCTTGTGGGAAAAATGTGTAAAAACTAGTAATAAGTTCGATATTAACCCTAAAAGAGTTTTTGTTTTTTAAGATTTTTGACGTTTAGGCTGATTTTTGAGTTTTAGTCTATTCTGAGACTTTTAGAAAAACTTTATGGCGGACATTTCTGTAGAATATTCTGAGCAGCTTTAACCCCGTTTTGAATGGGTTTTCAATCACTCCTGGAAAAGGGGGCCGAAAAGACCCCTTTAATGAGTCGGTTGAGGGTTAAAGTTGCATACCAAAATATTCCTTGATATTTTGTCAGTAATATTGCCGAAGACACTATATACCTAAAATGCATGAATTTCAAGAAATCATTATTCGAAAATGATCAAAACTCTGGAATAGGGGGAATATTGCCCCGCCATTTTAGGTTACCTCCCGACGTAAACTTTCAAAACGCCGATACACGTGTCTTCTTTTTTTAGTCCCTCCTTCATAATCTGTTGGAATTTCCCGGTAATTATCGAAAAAATTAAAATTTGTCGCACAGTGTAGTATACAATTTCCTTTTTACTACTTGTTTACAGCTTGTGATATGGGTATTATCGGTCCACTCCACTCTAGTAACTTCCCAACAAAGGGTCGACATTTTGAAAACTTGTAAATCTCATAAGGAGGGGACGGAATATCCAATATAATCCAAACTTTGCACCTGCTAATAAATTTACCTTACAAATTGGTCTATTGATTAATTCTTTCCCACAAATGGCCAACATTTTAAATTTATTTCGAATAGGCTGAGGGTATATATCTGTCGGCATCTGACACTTTTATACTTCATTTCGGACTAGAGCAATTCGACTGTCCATATATATCTGCCTATTATCTAATTGTGATAAAAATATTAAGCACAATGAATAAATAAAATCAAGAATTCATTTCACTTTTGATGAAATTGTTGATTTTTCGAAAATGTGTCATTTTGTGGTCGGGAGTACCAAAATACATAGAGAAATGGAGGTTGGCTTGAGTTGATCAGATAAATTGTTTAAAAATGTGTTTGGTTCCATGATAATTGGCGTCCAAAGCCGATATAACATTAGCCTTTAGGCTAAGGATATTGAAATCAGCTCATATGAAGGCCCAAAGGCCTGTGAAGACATACACAATAACTCATAATCTTGCTGCATTGAGACACTGGTAGGATTTTTGACTTCTTATGCAAGTGATCGAGTGGTCGCAATTCTCAGAAGGCATTCTGGTAGCAATTATTGGTTTTTAAATTGTATCATGTAGTTCGTAAGACGATGGATCGATACAATTTTATTATATATTCCAAATGAAATACATTCAGGGGACGAATTATTGGGCTTCGACTGCATGCTATCAAATGTGCATATTTTCTGTTGTATTTTATAATTTATGTTATTGTTTATTATTTATTTATTATTTTGTTTAGTTTATTTATTAATTTACTTTTTTTATAATAATATGTACCTTCAGCGAAGACACTGCAACAACGCGCAGCATTAAATCGGAAACAGAAGAAATTGAAATTTCACCACGTGATTCGGACAATAACACCACAAGAAACAAGCAGCACCACACCTAATCTTTATTTTTGTATATTTTGTATATTTTTTTGTTTTTGTAAAATCTTTTCATAAATTTAATTTTTTTGTTATAATATTTTTTGCCGTCATTTATAACCTTAATGCTTTAAGTCAAGTACATGTTTTTTGTGTGTGATTTATTTGTTTTATTTTTAATTTTTTATATATAAATAAATTCTCTAAAAAACTTCCAAGATTGAACGTGTTTTTATTATTTTTTTATATATACAATGCTATTTAGAAATATTAATATTGTGTTGTAATATGTTGTAATGAAATAAATAAGAATATAGTCGAATTCGCTTATAACAACGACCAAGGGACCGATGAAATTGGTCGCTATATATACCATATAAAATAAAAAGCGGAACTTTTCTCGGGACTTTTGGATAAGCCGTTCTAAACGACTTCGACTGCATGTCATAATACGAGGGTACAACAATTTCTAATGTTTTTGCAATACTGAGGGTATAATGAAATTGGGCAATGACATTTATTTAAGATCTCTAAGAATTACAAGTTTTTGAGTATCAAATTGTAAGCGGAACTAGTGTTGGTACAGTGGTCGACATATCTATATACAGTCGAGTACGGTTACAGCGAAAAAAATTGTTCGTTGTAGAAGAAGTTCGTAGAACGAACATATTTTCAGTTAGAAATTGGTAGATTTTGTCTAGGATGCTTTTCATTTTCTTTAATGAATCTCAAATTACAGCTGAAAATTGTTTGTACCTCCTTCAGCTCCTTCCTTATATCCAAATATATTTGGAGCATTCTATTAAATTAGAAGAATATGTCTTCAGTAAACTCAGTAAAACATATTTTGGAAGCAATAGAGTGAGTTCCATATACCATCTCTTCAAAGACTCCATTTCAATTAGCGCTGTGTTTTTAGACATGCGAGGCAAATTATGTCTCGCGTCGTCGCATCTGCTAATTACGTAGTCGGCTTCATAATATATTTCCTCTAATGCGAAAACATACATTTTCATGTTCTTGGCGTAGATCGGACAATAGAACTCCAGATAACTCTGCTTGATTCTATCCACTTCCTTTACAATGGTTTCACAGATTTGTGTCACCTGCTCCAGATCTGCAGTTATATTTTCTTCCTTGATTTCGAATGCAAGTTGCTTCAGTTCAGCCAACTTATCTTTAATAATATTTACCCATTCCTTCAGTAGACCTCCTGGCCGGAAGGGTATTGTCTCCGTTAAATATGCACATATGGCGTTTAACTCCTGTGCGTCTCGATTAAAACGCCTGTACATTCTCGTTCTCTCCATCTCATCAAGTCCTTTTTCCCAAGACTCTATGGAAAAATCTAACTCCATTTTTTATATTTTTGCTTAATAAAAAACTGTTCACCTCGTAGAACAGAAAATCTAAAAATTCTTGAGCTCCTTACTCAAAATTGATATAGTATTTTTTATAATTTTCCCTTTGCTGGTTCTATTGAGTCTCTTACCACTGGTGGGGAAAACTCAATTTTTGCAAAGGACCAAAAATTATTAAAAATATACAGACAGCCGCAGCTCATCTGTAAAATAAATTAAGACACGACACGGTGACCCCGACCGTTCATGTTGAGTGGTTGTAAGGCACTACTCTGTACACAAAATTATTGAGACACAGTTCTCCCGAACGTTCTTTGCGAGTGGTTTTTAGGCACTCCTCTCCACAAAAAAATATCGAGACACGAAACGGTGACCCCGACCGTTCTATTTGAGTGGTTGTAAAGCACTAATTTAATTTTAAAATATTTATCCTTAGGTACTACTTAAACAACTCTTGCTTAGCCTAATCTCAAACACAAAATACTATTCAATAAACTATTTGTTCTAATAATAGAATTTGATCTGTGCCTCATAAAATCTCGACACAAACAACAACAGTCTTATAACCGTTTCGTGTGGGATTTTAGACTCTTATCTTAAAACACTCCAACGATCAAATCTGCTGTAATACAAAATTCTGTTCAAAGTATTTTGAACACCAGGTATTTGTATTTTAACCTAAAAAACGAAAATATGTCTAATCATTCCGCGATTTGTTACACTTAAAAAAGTATTTTTTATTTCCTTGTTTAATCTTTTTATGGCTGTGCTCAGGAAAATGCGATATTGTTTGTTAAAACGTTTCGATTATCAGCCATACGCAATCAAAAGGGTTTAATTCTGCTGAAGTATGGTGTATCTGTTTAGTTTTGAAAGAAATTATAGTTTGAGAAATTATTCAAACATATTATAATAAAGGTCAAACCAATTATTTCGCAGAGATAAATAACTCTGTGACCTCACGTCGTCGAGGGATAACACTGTCCTAAAATATTTCCATTCTTTTATCAAGTTCAAAGATAAGACCCATTGGTCCACTCAAAAGAAAATTTCAATATTTTAATATTCCAATATCAGGTAAATGGAATGTCCGACGTATTATTTTTACCAAGATTAGATCAAGTCCGAAGATGGGACCCATTGGTTCATTCTTTCGGGTTTCTCCCCCATATATGGTCCACATTTCCAATATTTATAAATTCAGTATTAGGCGAATGATAATATCTATATTTGAACTAAATATCTGATTTGAACTAAACTTCAATATTTCGTAACTTGTTAATTTAATTTGAAGCGAATTGAATGACCGATTTGATGAATATTAAATCCGAAACCTCTTTAATAAAAACATATACCTTATATAAAGCGAATAATAAAGCATGTGTGTAATTCGGAAGACCTCTGCAAACAATAGGCTGGAACACTGATGGGCGTATTACTTGTTGAAAGTAAACATTGTATAGATCAATATCATCTAACTCCGATTACACATTAGTTTATTAATGGATGCCCGATTGAGACGGCGAATTGTGTCACAGCGTACACGATTTAACCTAGAATACTGTGTATTAAGTTTTGTCAAACTCGGGTTAAATTTTGATAATGCTTCCATATATATATATATATTCGTCCGATTTGATGTAAATGATGAAACGAACAACCAAGGTTCGCCAGATTGAGACTATATTTTCCACAAAGTATAGATTTGAGTCTAAAATAATTGATATGGATTTACTACTACCGTATTTTTAGTTGTCAGAGTATATATGTCAGGCCACTGTATATTTTATTTTAAAACAACAACATTCATATATACTGAATACTGGGATATAATATTTACATATGATTATCTGACAAATTGAAAATCGTAATACACCGCTTCACATTTCAATATAATTGAAAATCTTGATTATTTATAAAAATTAAACAAAAAAAGTATTGCATTTAAAATTAACCCAAAATGTTGTGCATTTATTTTTTTAATGGTTTTTATTTTTATTTGTTTATAATTTTGTTATTATAATTTTGCCAAACATCTCATAAATATCTATAAAATATAAGTGAATTTGAAAAAATATTATTAAAAAATATATATTATTTTTTTTTCAAATTGATGTAAATTACAGTCGCCTTTAATCCTCATCAGAATGCGCTCTGTCGCTTTTTTCGTGGGAATATCACTAATGCTATTTACAAACTTTGGCAAAAAGTGGAGATTTTATAAAATACAACTCAAGAGATCTAGAAAATTCTTGGCGCTTTTCTGTATTTGTAATACCACCGGAATATAGTAGCTTCTTTAATTATTGTTAAAGACAATTAAAAGATTACAATAAAATAATAGCAGACAATTTTAAAATATATTTTAATGTTATATTTGACAAGTGGAAAAGCGTTAAGGCCGGGCCGAGCTTTGGGTGCCCTCCACCATAGGTATACTGACAGATACTTGAAATGAAAATATAGGGAACATACCAAAAAGTGAACCTATACCGATAATTCTACAAACCGGTTTATGTAAACCATTTTGTACACCAAATACAAAGTTCCGCAAATTTTAATAAAAACCCCAAAGCGTGGACTGATTCGTGATTAGGGATACGGAGTCGATTGCAAAAGTCGACTTTTAGACTTTTCGATTTTTGCCTTTGACTAAAAAGTCGACTTTTCGATCTTATCAAAACTGTTCAAAATCGATTTTCAAATTTTACTGACTTTTGCAAAATCTACTAAAAATTTAATTTTTTATACCAATTATTGTGAACAGATAATGTAAAATTCCGGAAAGTGCAATTTTTGGGCAATTTGAGCTATGTGATAAAAAAAATCTAGTATTTTTGAAGAAAATCAAAAGTCGATCTTGAAATGTCGACTTTACGATTTTCTTATAGATCACAAGTTGACTTCGACTTTTAGACTTTTCAATGCAAAAAGTCGATTAATCGATTAGTCGAAAGTCGATTTACTTATCCCTAGGACTGATACTAACAACGCATGGTAGAATATACAATCCTCAAACTTCTGCAATTTAGATTACCAAGTTAGA